GTGAGTAATGCTCCGGTAACACCTGTGACACCCCAACACCTGTGACACCCAACACCTGTGACACCTCCAACACCTGTAACAACCTCAAATACCTGTGACAACTCCAACACTTGTGACACCTCCAGCATCTGTGACACCCCCAACAAATGTAACAACCCCAAACACCTGACACCTCCAACATCTGTGACACCCCAACATCTGTAACAACCCCAAACACCTGTGACACCACCACCTGTGACACTTCCAACATCTGTGACACTTCCAACACCTGTGACACCTCCAACACCTGTAACAACCCCAAATACCTGTGACACCTCCAACACCTGTGACACTTCCAACATCTGTGACACCTCCAACACCTGTGACAACCCCAAACACCTGTGACACCTCCAACACCTATAAGCCCCCTCCCTATATATAACTATATATGTCAGCGAGGAGTAAATGTTTTACCTGTGACTGTTTCTAGAGTTTTTTCTACCCCTGGCGGCCCGGCAAGGAACCAGGCCCTGTTGACTGCCTGGTCGACCAGGTTGCTGTTGTTGACGATCAGTGTCAGAAGCACAATTAACGGACACTTGCGTTAACTTGCGCTAGGACAAATAGCCTGTTAATGGTACCAGAGTCTTAGGTGTTTGTTAATGGTTAATAGGGCAGCCTGGTATACCTTTACTTTTGAAGGCTTTCCAGTTTCCCTACCCTTGCAGCCCGGCCCTGGGCCAGGCTTGTCTGGTCAACTGCATATCGCAGGTATGTCGAGCACTCAGGGATACAGCTGTAGGTGACGTCATGAAAGACGCCCATCAACCAGGGATACAGCTGTAGGTGACGTGATATCACTTCGTCATAAAAACGGCATCCAGTCACAGAATTTAATTGTATGACGACTTGAACGTGTACTCACCTAGTTGTACTCACCTAGTTGTACTCACCTAGTTGAGGTTGCGGGGGTCGAGTCCGAGCTCCTGGCCCCGCCTCTTCACTGATCGCTACTAGGTCACTCTCTCTGAACCGTGAGCTTTATCATACCTCTGCTTAAAGCTATGTATGGATCCTGCCTCCACTACATCGCTTCCCAAACTATTCCACTTACTGACTACTCTGTGGCTGAAGAAATACTTCCTAACATCCCTGTGATTCATCTGTGTCTTCAACTTCCAACTGTGTCCCCTTGTTACTGTGTCCAATCTCTGGAACATCCTGTCTTTGTCCACCTTGTCAATTCCTCTCAGTATTTTGTATGTCGTTATCATGTCCCCCCTATCTCTCCTGTCCTCCAGTGTCGTCAGGTTGATTTCCCTTAACCTGTCCTCGTAGGACATACCTGTGTGTGTATATGTGTGTGTTCTCACTGAGTTGTGTTGGGTCTTGGGGCCTTATCATACCTACCCTTCAAGCTGTGTACTGTGTCCACCACTGCCTCACCCGAGTCATTCCACTTTTCAACCATCCCAAAAACGACGCAAGGAGTCAACGGGAACCAGAAAATGAAACTGAGGGGCCAGTGCGACAACAGAAAACGAGAACGAGGTGCCAACGGGAAAAAAGTAGTGAAGGTGCCAGAAGAGGATGTGAGAAAGAGTGTGCAGTAGAGGAGAGCTAACTTCCTGTCTAGTCACTGGTGTTGACACTGTTCTCGTGTCCTTGTGCGAAGGAGGCTGGCGAGAGGAGAGAGAGAGAGAGAGAGAGAGAGAGAGAGAGAGAGAGAGAGAGAGAGAGAGAGAGTAGGGAAAAGTGTAAGGAGATGGGGAGGAGGAGGAAGAAGAGAGGGGAGAGGGAGAAAGGGAAGGTGAGGAGGAGAGAATTATTTTTTTAATTAATTTCAGTAAGTACACAGTTGTTGTTTACCCAACACTGGAAAACTTACAACAGGTACAGGAGGCTTCTTAGACAGGACTGGAGTGTTTTCTTACACAGGATCTTGTCTTCTCGCAGTCCTGGAGGGTTTTCTACACAGGATTACCTGGAATATATCTGGAGAGGATTTCGGGGGTGAACGCCCCCGCGGCTCAGTCTGAGACCAGGCCTCGTGGTGGATCAGGGTCTGATCAACCAGGCTGTTACTGCTGGCCGCACGTAAACCGACATACGAACCACAGCCCGGCTGATCAGGTACTGACTTTAGGTGTCTGTCCAGTGCCTTCTTGAAGACAGACAGGGGGTTGGAGTGTTATATTACACAGGATATAACATTCTTGCAGGACTGGAGTTGTTTGTTATTTAGGATATGACATTCCAGCTGATCTAGAAATTTTCCCTAGATGCGACCCGCAACAGTCGGCTAACACACACACACACACACACACCTGACGACATTGGAAGACAGGAGAGATAGGGGGGATATGTTAACGACGTATAAAATACTGAGAGGTATAGACAAGGTGGACAGAGACAGGATGTTCCAGAGATGGGACACAGCAACAAGGGGTCACAGTTGGAAGTTGAAGTCTCAGATGAACCACAGGGATGTAAAGTACTTCTTCAGTCACAGAGTGGTCAGGAAGTGGAGTAGTCTGGGTAGTGATGTAGTGGAGGCAGGATGCATAACATAGCTTTAAGAAGAGGTATGATAAACCTCATGGAGCGGGAAGAGTGACTGAGTAGCGGCCAGTTGAACAGGCGAAGCTACGAGCTGTGAATCGACCCCCGCAACCACAACTAGGTGAGTACACACACACACACACCTGTCTTTATCGCTTAGTCGGCACGGGAGGTGTATGGAACAGGGTGTAGAAGCAGGGGAAGGGGTGTATGAGAATGAAGGAGGCGGGTTGATGGAGAATAACACTTGTTTAGAATGCGGGGGGGGGGGGGTCCTTTTTCCCTGCACTCCTCAGAGGATCCTCTAGCTGGCATACATCCCCTCCCCCAGTCTGAACTAGCTAGCTGCCTTGTATGGTCACCTGACAGCTGTTGGGATAGAATGATCATCTGTGTGAGTAAACGCCACCATGTGTAGCAGTGCAGGTCAGCCTCTGCTTACTGCCCTCCTCCCACTACACCATTACCATCCTGGGGATGGGAATGGCATCCATTCTGTATTTTTAGGTTGTTCATCCCCCATAATGAAGGGACAATGAATTCTTGTATTAATTCCCCTTCCCCTCTAAGTGAACAGGTAGGGTCGGATCAACGTCACAGGAGTGCATGCTGTGGGGAAAATTGTCCTCTTATAAGAGAAGAAACCCAACCCCCCCTTTTCCTTTCCCGGGAGTGAAGAATGCTGAGTAATAGTGTTATCTTCCAGGACAGAGAGGGTTAAGAGATGTCAGGCGCTTTCTCGCCAAACGAAGTGCAAGGGTTCGCCGGCTGCCCCTTATTAATAATTATTATGAGAAATTAGAATTTCGAACTGAACTCCCTAGAGTGGATAGTGTGTCTCAATATAAGGTGAATGAGCCCTTTATAAATGGAATTCTGATAGTTATTTTTCGAGCAATTACTAATCTGCGAAGACACTGTACTAGCGCCTGCCCGAAAAAGGGAGTGTAAATGTGAATATTGCAAAGTTGCAGTTAACAAAACGCCCAATAACTATTTTTTAAATTTATTATACAAGCACAATATCAAAAACATAAATGGAACTTGTATCCAAACATTTTGTAAGTATTAGAAAAATATGAAAATGAATCAAATAGCAACAAGGACACATTGCAAAGGTATAAAACTTTCAAGTTCCATATTCCTGAGTTTCCTGAGAAAGAGCAATCATTCTATATTACTAATTGCTAGAAGGAAAGTCTATGAAGCAATTTTTATCCTTCTTTATGCATCGATTTACTTTGCACATGGAACAGTAAAATGAGGATGTGACATAACTTTTCTCTTTGCTGCAACACTTGCAACTAAGTAGCTTGCCTAGCATTGGCCAGTGACCTAGCATTTTATCAAACCTCACACTGTCATCAGGCCTTTCTGCACATTGGTACTGCATAACTGATGACAATTGTAAGGTTGGCAAATCATTACTGTCACCACTGGAAGTACTTGGTAAAGCTCTCGTAGTTGTTCTTATGCAGACATATTTTGACTTGGTGTTGGAGGGCTCACTATAAAACAATTTCTCATTGATCTGGAAGGACAATAACAACGTTCTGTATACATCCAGACCACTACAGAATTCATATATGCAATAGAATTTTTTTTTATAAATATTTATTTACTGAAATTGGAGCATGGGCCTAAACGGGCAGTACCGAGTGTACTCACGCCCTTTTTTTTTTGCACTTTGTTCAACTGCCTGGTACATTCATATTATGCTTCACACGGACTTTATGTATATGTATCAAAATATGCCTAAACTATTCATATATGCACTAGACACAACAATCAGTATTAACTGACATTGTAGAGGGTAAAATCCAAGAGTATATGAGTGTCACTAGATGGAAAAATCCCACTCTCGGTGATGCCAAGTGACGAGTGTTTACATTTTGGCCTCTCACCAATGGAAGCCAGCAAATACCATCACCACTTAGCTGAAGCGACTCAGGGAAGGTTTGTGATTGGTCAGAAGTAAAGAACAGGAATCTATACGAGTGGTGGGAGTAGGATGACATGTGCAAAGAAACACGTGTTCAGGCGCTAGTTTACTAGCGCCTGCCCTTCAACTATACAAGTAACTCAATAAGTAACTGTAAATGGAGATAAATGTTATTAAATACTGACATGTCGGTCCCTTACAAGTCCATCTCAAATCCCACCACCTACCCAACATTCTCCACCTGCTCTCCACCTTATAATATCTCATGTACTATTCACCTAGGCAGATCTGTTTGTGACTTGTTAATAAAGGATTGCATTATGCTACATTTGTTTATTTTTGCATGTAACTCAGCCTGGAGTCGACTTCAGGCTGAGGGACTGATTACCTCAAACTCCTTCTGATCTTCACCATTCTTCTTTGTATATGACTGATGAAGCCACTGCTTGGCGAAACGTTTCCTCAATAAAGATTCCCAAGTGCTGCACATGTGTCTAATTTATCATAAAGAGTTAAG